TTAAGAATAAAAAATATATGTGGGTTTGTTGTTAAATCAGATTAGCAGTAAAATGTCAGCCTAACATGTTATGTAGCTTACACGAAGGACTCACTTACACACCATACCTCAATGACCAACCTGGCATCTTCAATATAAATCACATTATGACTTTCTATCCAAATACCACCAACCATCCCCCCATCAAATGGATAGCATTCTTCTATACACACATGATATAGATATATGTATGTCATGTATAGATAGATATAACTAACATTACATTCTTCTTCAGATAGTATAAACGGTTTCTTTCCTATATTTTGCAAAATAGGGTTTATGGGTTACATGTATAAGAAGCAAAAAAATCAACCAAAAGATTGAACTTTCAAAATATTTGTATGTATAGATGATGGGTATGAGTTTTGAATTTCGGCCACACACATGGGTGTGTGTATGTGTTACATATAATACACATACATAGAATACAAAATCCAAAAGATAAAACTCTTTTTTTCTTTCAAAAAAGGCATAATAATGAGAATGGTGTTTGTAAAATTGACAGGATGTCTTCTTGGATTCCTCAACTTCTTCGTATAAAGAGAGGTACAGTTTCATGTACTCAAATCACAAGACCAGTTGAATTTGACTGTCTGACTCATTTAACTATTCAATGGTTTACAAAAAAAGTGCAGGCCATATGATGGTACCACGGAAAATCAGATCTAAGCATGGATTTCTATAACTAACAGTAATAGCTACATTAAATATAATGGTTAATTACAACATGAAGGGGGGCATGCAGCACATGGAAATTATAAAGAAAAAAAAAACAACAAAGTCACAAGACTATATAATAAAATATCCAGCACATAAATCAGAGCATTAGCTGGACTCACTCCCTGTATACAACATCTCAATAAATGTATAGGGCTCTGTATTTATAGAAAATAATGCCAGGCATCCAACATGCCTCGCACCCACCTCCCAACAAATTATTTTCTTGGCTAAGCTTTCACCCTTATGCTTGCTTAGTTATTTAACCCTAAAATTCTAATTAGTTCGATACTGTCGGATTTGTCTTTCTAATAAGATTAAAGAGTAGTAGCAACGAAACAAATCTAAGACTCCACTTGGCTTTGGTAGAGGAGAATGAGGTAAGGGAATTGAATGGGGGTGAGAGTAAAGTGTTAAATCTACCTCACTGAATGATTTTTTCATCTCCATCAAAATTTTCTCAACTAATATTCTATGCATTTATTGCGGAAACAATTGGATCAACATTCTCACTTATCTCATCCACTTGATTGATCCAATTAGGGTGAATCGAATATCGAACCGGACTAAGCCTAAGCTGGAAATGAAATTATGCTTCCCTGTTTACCACGTGCACAGTAAAGGACAGTTATAATGCTATTATAAGTACTCGAGTATATCCACGAAGGATTCTATTAACTAGTTATAATACTAAAAGTGCATGAATCCCTCCAAAGCTTATACGGAACTACATACAACACGTTGTATGGTAAAATAGTTGGCAGGTGAGTACCTAAGACATTTGAAACCTCCCAATAAGCATGACCAAAATCACATCGAGTCATCAGTCTCATCCGAATCACTTCTATCCGGTTCAGGCTCTCCAACATTTGCTCCTGTTGCAGGAACCTTGTGCTTCTCTGTGGGTGCAGGCGCAGCTTTTTTATTTGCATTCCGGGCATTCTCATCACCATCTTCCTCTTGTTCATGCACCTCAACATGTGAATCATTCTATCAAGGAATACAAAGAGCTATATGGAGGAAAAAAAAAAAAAAGAACATATACGATGACAGAAATATTCAAACTGCTCTATCATGTTGAATGCTTGGGAGATTTAGTAAAATGTGACGGAGCATTAAAGTGAACCAAGGGAAACCATCATTCCGGTTATGCACAAAAACATTGGATCAATATAAATAAGCCCTTACAAGTGGTACCTTCACAAGGGCAGAAAACCTTAACTTTATGCACACACACAAATAGAGTGTGTGTGTGAGGGAGAGAGATGTAAATACACAAATATGCATTATATCAATATATATCCCTAAACAACAATGTTTAACTTAAATGAAAGGATATCTGCATTTTCAACCGTTACACCGCTCATGATGTTAAGCAAATCTTTCTCAACACGCTGTACAAGCTCAGGCTGTAAAATTAATAACGGTATCAGTACAAACAATTGAATGAACACTAAGAAAGCTGCATCCATAATGACATACTGTATGCTGAAAGGACGCCTCTTAATAAATATTTAATATCTCTATGAATTTATTGAAAAATAAGAAGTCCATACTGAGAAAATGTTAAATTTGTGGATAATCAAGTGACAAGTCCGTCCTTTTATGCCACAAATTAAGGAAAAAAAGGTTTTATATATTGGTGTTGCACCATTCCTCCTCGACTCCAAAATAGAAATTTGTGCAAATATAGAAGTTTTGAAGAATATTGAGTTGATTAATACATTTAGGTCAGGCTCTCGACGAAATCTCCGTTTTCGAGCATCCTTCATAGGAGGAGTGAGACCATGTCTATATTCCACCGCACTTGGAGCAGGATCTTCTGGTTCTCTAACCATAATCATCTGTTCCACCCTAAAAGTTCAGTAAAAATGGCTTTCTAAATGAGGAAACTTTGTCTCTAATCATATTAAATTAAACAATGCAGATGTAACCCACCTGACCAATGTCAGCAGTTTTAACGAGAGCACAATCATCATAAGTTTTAAATGATTCAACTACACATGGAAGATCCAAGAGAGATGCAGGAAAATGATCATTGCCAATGACAAACGTTCCACTCCTTCCATCCTCTACAATGTAAGACATTTCAAATTCAAAATACAAAACAAGCAGTTAAAAATAATGGCAAAGAACTTGCATTTTTGTCCACTTCAAATATTGACTTCTCATAGAACATATTATGATATATCTATTTTACACAAACAAAATCCTAAATTTCAGCCACTAACAAAGTCATTTACTTATGTGCAGAAGGGAAGACAATCAACTGCTGAAGGAATTCCTTTCTCTTTAATGGAAATTGGTAAAAAAAGAGCACACAGCAATAACAGACACAAACATGATTCTACCTAGAAATTTAAGTGGGTAAAGCAATCCCAACTTCCATTTGTTTTGTGATGACACGAAAAACACTAACATTCTAGAAAATTTCACCCCTTTGCTTTAACCCTCCAACAACTCAAATGACTGGCCAAGAAACTTTGTTATTATTAATTTAGAACCACTCCAGATGATGGCTGTTATTGGTCTCATGAAAAGAAAACCAGCAAACAAGATGTTAAATGGAGCAAACAAAATGCATCTAGTCCTCTTTCAGGAAGTTCCTTCCGGTCTTTTTTTCCCGTAAAAGACATCTATGGAAATAGATGGCAGCCACTCATGCTGTAATACTGCTAGCAACTAACCAATTAATGAGTATATTGCAGGTGAACAATTGAACATCCAACAGAAGCTTGTAAGAAAACATATATGTTTCTTAAGCTTTCTTACTTCTCTAAAACGGCATCTGCAGCTCATTTAGCTTAAACGAGACATTCACATGGAGAACATAACCAGATAAAGCACGAACTAACACAAAGTTAAGAAGTCAACAATAATATCTAATAAAGTGATGGTGTATTCTCACCAGAAAATGATAAATCCAATGTCTTGTCCTCGGCAGAAGAAGCATCCTCATTCAAAAGGCGATCAATCCTCTCCGCGATAGAAGGTGGAACCCTAAGTATGAATTGCTCCTCCATGCCTATTAAAATTTAACATGACATGAATCTATTTATCTACTTGTAAAATTCACAGTTCTAGAAAGACAAATTTTCAGGAAACCCTAGTAACTCACAATAACAGATAATATTTGAACGTTTCTTAGGCGTGATGCCTAAGAAACCCCAAGTGTGGTTTCTAGGTTTTAATCTCCAACATCCTAAGACACATACTCATTGATGATCGATACAACTCTTATAAAAGTTCCACATCATAAATTGAATGAACCTCTCGAAAAGCTAAACAAGAAATTATCATATTCGTAAACATAAATGTGAAAACCAGCCTAATAACGTCAAAATATGACGAAAATATATGTCAAGACAACAAGGAGTTATCAAAATCAAACGAAGTACAGAGCGTAACGAAACAAGAAAACGAACATGTAATCAGAAGCATCCAAATCTTAGCAGCAAAGAGAAACAACAACAAGCAGAGTGTACAAGTGAAAGCAATTAACCAGTAACATTTGAGAATACTAAGAGGAAAGAAATCTAAAACTTACCTCGACGTGTTATTGAGTTCCGCTCTGGAACAACGACGGGGTAAAATCTTAGCTCGGCGTTGAATCGGACAAATCAAACGACGATGTTTTCAGATGGATTAGTACCGTATGCAGAGATGGAGGAGGAGAGAAGGTTTGAGAAAGAGGCTGCGTGCGAATAGAAATCTGATTCTTGAGTCGGTGACGGTGGTCCGGCGAATGAGAAACTGGTGGCTAAATATATATATATGTATGTATATATATATATATTTGTTGGGCCGAATTTTAATTAAAAATTTCATTTGGGCTTTTGAAAATGGGCTTTAAAATATGATAAAAATAAAAATATAAAAAAATGAATTTTTAAATATATATTTAAAATATTATGAATTTAAATCGTATCGTATTTCTATATAATTAATACACATATTATTTTAATAAATTTATTAATAAAAATAATTTTTAATTTTAATAATAATAATTTTTTTAAAATAAGAAAAAATTATGCATTAATTCGTTATAATTATTTAAATTAAATTAATTAATTTATTATTAAAAATTTTTATTATAAAAAAATATTAAATCGAATATTATAAATTTATTTATAAAATTTATATAATTTAAAAACTTTTATAACCCTATTATGATAATAAATAAGTTAATAATATTTCAAAAAAATGTGAAATTTGATTA